AAATTGTTAGCCGCCGTTACGCAGGCTCGTTCGCTCTAGTTGCTCGCTGGATTATGCGCTGTGACGCCCGCGTGGGGTGGGGGTGGGGTGGGGGGGGGAGGGTAAAGCATGGGGCGTGTTGTTACGGTCTTTTAGTTTTTAGATTTTAAAGTTTTTTTTTTTTATCAACCTCTACGCTATCTCTCTGTCTACACGATTTAACTATCCATATTAATATATCGCATATATCTGTGTTATCTATCTATACAATCTATCAATCAATCTATGTTATCTATCTATAATATCTATCAATCAGTCTATATTATCTATCTATACTATCTATAAACCAGTCTACATTATCTATTATTCCTATCTATCAATCAGTCTATATTATCTAACTATATTGTCTATCAGCCTATATTATATATCTATACTATCCATCATTAGTCTATATTATCTATTATTCCTATCTATCAATCAGTCTATATTATCTATACTATCTATCAATCAGTCGATCACCTACTTGACCAATAATTATCCCAACTGCAACTATATATAGACTCTCTGAATCAATCACAATTCCTAGCGCTATTCTTATTCACGTCTGTCAATAAAATTCAATTTCAAATTCAAATCCAAACCGTTTTATTCCGTTAATTGCAACGGTTTGAAAAAAAGCGCGCGAAAAGAGACAAGAAAAAGAACAGAAGGGGATAGAAAGAGAGAGAGAGGAGGAGGCAGGAAGAAAGAAGAGCGAGGGAGAGAACGAGAGATGGGAAACAGGGGAAGAAAGATATAGATAGATAGATAAGACGGATTGAGAGACAAGAAGGACCGAGAGAGAGAGAGAGCCAAAAGTTATTTTTTTATGAAACTTTTTACAACCCGAATTCTTCATTTACAGCATCATTTACAGTTACACTTTTCGATGAAACTTGACAATATTTGGATAGGATTAAATGAAAGTGGAATATCATGAGTTTTAAAGAGCAAAGAGAAAATTCCGAACTAATTATAAACTAGAAGCACTCAGAGAGCGCATACCTCCGCCAAGGCAACAGGATCATTGATGCAATAAAAATACACCAAGAATTACTTTTTTCAAGTACACTGATGACGTCCGTATTTCCCTATCTCACAATTTTAATGAATTCCTTTAAAAAATCCTCGATCTGATACATGATCAATATTTAATGGCACTGGAGTTGGGTTAAGACACATATTTGGTAAAAAAATCAGAAAAATCTGTTCATATTTTTTGAGTTGTCCTGCTATCAAACTAGCCAACACTACCAAAAAAATCTCGGGGGAGGTAAAAATATGCGATAAACAGAGAGAGAGAGAGAGAGGAAGGAAGAGAGAGAGAGGGAGAGAGAGAGAAATAGACAGGCAGAAAGACAGACAGAGACACAGAAAGACAGACAGAGACACAGAAAGACAGACGGATAGACAGATGCTCCAACAGGGAGAAAGCGAAAGACAGAGGGAAACGACCTAAAAAATAGAGAGAGATGAAAAGGGGAGATGATTGGCGAGAGAAAGAGAGAGAAAGGGAGAGAAAGAGGGGACAGAGAGAACACAATAGACCTCATCGAGTACATCAAATATTCATTATACTCGTCATGGGTCGTTGGGCGTGCGGGCAGGTGTCATTTTTCATTGTTTCAGTCAACACAGGTGAGAACGCTGCCACTTGTTAGCCAGCCGTGGGGGGAGGAGGGGAGGGGAGGGGAAGGGAAGGGGAGGGGAGGGGAAGGGAAGGGACGGGAGGGGGAGGGAGGATGGAGGGGCAGTGTTACTGGGTGACTTGCAGAGCAGAGTGTGATCTCTCTCATTCTCTCTCTATCTCTCGCTCCTCTCATTCTCTCTCTCTCTCTCTTCTTCTCTCTCTCTGTTTCTTCTTCTTCTCTTCCTCTATCTCTCTTTGCCTTCTCCATTCCCACTTCCTTTTCTCCTCGCCTCTCTTATCCTTCCTTCTCTTTCCCTTTTCTTCTTTCCCCTCTCTTCTTCTCTTCCCTCCCGCTCCCGCGTTCTCCTTCCCTCTCTCTCCCTCTTTCCTTCTCCCGTCTCTCCTTCTCCCCTCCTTCCATCTCTTCCGCTCCTTCCTTCTCCTCTTCTTCTTCCCTCTCCTCCTTCCCTCTTTTCTCGCTTTCCCTCTCTCCTCCCCCCTCTCGTCCTTTCCTCTCTCCCTCCTCCCCCTCTCGTCCTCTCCTTCCTCCTTTCCCTCTCCTCCCTCCTTCCCCCTCTTCCCTCCTCTCCTTCTTATTTCTCCTCCTTCCCTCTCTTCCCTCTTTCCCTCTCCTCCCTCCTCCCTCCCACACCCCTTCCTCTCTCCTGCCATTCTCTCTTCGCCTCCTTCCTCTCCACTTCTTCCCTCCCCCCTTCCCTCTCTTCCCTCCCCCTTCCCTATCCTCTCCTCTCCCCCCTTCCCTCTCTTCCCTCCCCCTTCCCTATTCTCTCCTTCCCCCCCCTTCCTCTCTTCCTCCCTTCACTCTCCTCTCCTCTCCCCCTTCCCTTCTTC